GTTTGGTCTGCTGATCCAGTCACTTGGCATCAAGACAAAGTTCTGTGGGTCTCAGCTGTCCTCAGAAACCAGGGCTCAGGATTCAGGGAATTCAACAGAATGTAATAAAACGAAGGTCTTGGGCCACCCGACAGTTCAAAGCTGTAAAATTAATTACAATTATAAAAAGTAAGATGTTCTTCTCAGCTTTCCCTGTCGCCTCTCAGGGTCAGGTGAAGAACAGTTTCGACAAGACAACGTCTTTGTCTCAGACTTCCACGTCAAGCGAGAAGTGCGGCCCTGCCCCGTCAACATGATGACCAGGAGACGAGTTCAGGTACAGGACTCCCCCAAGACCAGGTGCAGATCCTGGGAGATTTGCCATTACAGCGGAGACGGACATCACATGTGCTGATCCTGCCGAGAAGAGGCACGCCTCGCAGTTCAGGTTAGGTCCTTGGTCTTTTCTTCCAGTCCAGCTTAATCTATGAGAAAAGTTTCCAGTTTCTTTAATGTTTATTTTCTCTCCTTCATGTTCTTTATTTTATCAAAACTTTACTTGTGTATGTTTTCTTCAACTGAGAAGATCTTATCTTTTATCTATCTGTTTGAGAGCTGAAGCTCATTAGTACCTGCTTTCAAAGACAAACTACTCAGATTTTCTGAATCTTCTGGTTGTGTAATATATATATATATATATATATATATATATTTCAAGTATCTGTACTTTTTATTATTTGTAAACTTCTGACTTTGACTCGTCTACACTTAAAGACAAATAAATGACGTTTCTATTTAAGAGTTTCCTGGTGAGCAGGTATGAAGAGCTGCTGTCCTGATACAGGAGGAAGAACCTTTGCTTAAATCAGTGGTTCTCAAAGTGGGGTCCAGGGACCCATGGGTCTGTGAGGAGGTCCCGGGGTCGCCCAGCAAAAATGGAATCATTTATTTTCACAATCAAGTAACACAGTTGACAGAATGTTTGTGAATGTTTTTTTTTCATGGATTTAAACACTTTCTGTAATAAAACATCTGAACTCTGATCAGGTGGGAGTCTGACGGTCTGATCGTGTTCAGGTTTAGGCGTGAGAGCTACTCCTGATCTAAATGGACAGTGGTCTCACTGATGAACAGAACCACAGACTGCAGGACCTGTGATGCTCGGGTGGTACACTTCATGGATTGTGCTGTGATTGTTGTCGTCTGTGTGTCGGTGGAGGCGAGTCTGGACCTGAACAAACTGAACAACTGGCTGAGTCAGAGAAGGAGACGAACCGCCTCCGTCCACGTCCCTCGGTTTCAGGGCGATGACAGTTTCAGTCTGAAGGAGAAGCTTCAGGCCATGGACTGACTGACCTGCTTCAGCCCAGACAAGGCCAGCCTGCCATGTGAGCTACTTTGAATCACATCCCACTTCAGTCCTTAACCTCAGTCCAGAATAACAGATCAAACAGTTCAAATTGTGGATTGAGTCAGTGCAGGGTGGAGTACAGGTAGAGCTCACAGGTTAGAGATCTCAGGTTAACTCAAGGTCTCTGTGAGTGTTTATCTTTAATCAGTGAAGTTTAATGATCTGAAACAGGTTTCCACAGGAAGTTTTGGATCAGCTGCATCACTTCCTGGTTTAACCTGCTCACTCACCTGTCTGTCTGTTTGTTTGTTTCAGGGATGTTTGCGAGGACGGCCAGTGATGGTCTCTTCTTCTCAGATGCCTACCATGAAAGGCCTTTCCTGAGGTAAGTAAAGACCAGGGTCCTGATAAACCTGTTTCCTGGTCCAGAGTCAGTTCAGACCGTAAGACCAGGGCCGATAAACCTGTTTGCCTGGCTTGTCAGATGTGAACGAGCAGAGGGGCAGCGAGGCAGGGCAGCAGCCACTGTCGGTCGTGCGATCGACGTCATCAACTTGAACCGGGAAGATGTTTTGTGGCTGACCGACCGTTCCTGCTGCTCATTCAGAGAATCCACCATCAACACGCTCTGTTCATTGGCCGAGTGTCCACCCCTTGCAGCCAATGAGGACTGAGCTGCTGCTTTGATAAAGAATCGAACATGTG